GAATAAAATAAATAAAAATATATATATATAGAAGTAAAAAATAAGAGTAAAAACTCACACTCGCACGTCACACGTCCATTTGCTCACGCAGTGAAAAGCACCCTCAAATGAAACCAAGAGCTCCCTCAGTTAAAACTGTAGTATGATATTGGCAAAACAGATCTGGTAAATGCTCCAGTGCATATTTGTGTTTGTGTTCTGGAGAGCGTCAAAAGTTACTATTTACATCGTGTTTATAGCATTGAGCAATGTAGCCAATTACAGTTAATTTCTTGAACACCTCTGATTGACTGTACTGTTCAGGTTAGTCAGAATTCACTCACCACTCAAAACATCAGATTTTTTTCTGCACGCTCACAAATCCTCTCAATGTAAAAAAGTGTGTAGATACAATGTAAATAAAAATTCACTGAGCAGCGTAGAGAGCTTTGTGAAATCGCGATGAACTGAAGAGAGTGGCAGCTTTTTAGTGATTATAAAGGAAGCGCTATTTGCATGCTTTCTAGACTGCATATAATCCGTCCAGAATTTGAATAAAAATTTTGTTTTTCATGCTGCTAAGAGGACCAAATGGCCACATACCCTGTTCACGCAGCAAAGTTTCAGGATTGACATAAATCCCTCATATAAATGTGGGATTCACTTTCGAAATAGCAATACTTTACATAATGATGAATACAGCAATGGATGGGGGAAAATGTAATTTGTCATAATAGATGTGCATTAATCTATTCTAATGTAAATGCAGACTAATAGATTACTAGAAAAATATTTTAATTTTTAAATATTTTTTAAATGCAATTGAAATTATTTATAAAATTAATGAAATATAAAATTGCAATTCTCTCACTGTACATTACTATTCTTATTGTGGGGAAAAGTTAAGATAGACATGTTCAGATGTCAAGCAAAACTGCTGACAGGTACAGTGGGTATAGAAAAGAATCACCCCCCTTTAAAATAATCACATTTTGTTGCTTTGCAGCCTGAAATGAAGGACACAGTTTTTGTTTTATCCAACTGGATTTACTCAGTGCAACTTATAACATCCAAATGAAAGATATAACACCAACATGTCATAAGAAAAATTAAAAAACTGAATCACTGAGTTGGAAAAAGGATCACCCCCTTGCGTCAGTATTTTGTTGAACCACCTTTTGTTTTAATTACAGCCTTTAGTCAGTTGGGATATGTCTCGGTCTCTACTAACTTTTCACATCTAGACTGTGTTATATTTGTCTACTCTTCTTTGCTGAACTGCCCGAGTTCAGTTAAATTTGATGGTAAGTGTTTGTGGACTGCAGTCTTCAAGTCATTCCACAGATTTTCAAATGGGGTTTAAGTCTGGGCTCTGACTAGGCCATGCAAGGAAATTCATCTTTTTCTCCTTCAACCACCGTGTGGTCAGTTTTGCTGTGTGCTTTGGGTCATTGTCATGTTGGAAGGTAAACCTTCTTCCCATTGACAACTTTCTGGCAGAGCAGAGGGCAGCAGATTTTCCTTCAGAATTTTATGGTATTTGCCCATCTATTTTTCCTTCTATTCTGACAAATGCTCCAGTCCCTGCTGCAGAGAAACACCCCATGACAGGATTTTAATTCAATTTTAGTCTCATTTGCCTCAGAATCTTCAAGATGTGTTTTTTGGCAGAGCTCAGTCGTGACTGCATGTGGCCTTTCTTGAGGAGTGTCTTTTTTCTTGCAACCCTTCCATACAAGCCACAATTGTGGAGAATTTGTGATATTGTTGTCACATGCACACAATGACCACTCTTTGTCATAAATTCCTGCAGCTGCTTCAAAGTTGCTGTAGGCCTCTGACCAGTTTCCTCCTGGCTCTTTCTTTCAGTTTGGAGCAACGTGCTGATCCAGGGAGGGTCTGTGTTGTACCACATACCTTCCACTTCTTAATAATAGACTCCACTGTGGTGCTAGGCATTTATAAAGCCGGTTACACTTTACTAAGGTATAATTTTTTTAAGGGGTGTGCATAAGACTGGCATGACACCTTCATAATCATGACATGACACATACATAATCATGACATGACTCATGTCATGAATATGAAGTTTTTTTTGCATGTTTATTACAACTGTCATTAAGTGTCATTCGCTCAGTTATGTAATTTTTAATGCAAAGATGACATTGTTTGAGATGTCTTTGTAATGGGCTATGGTTAGGGGTAAGGGTAGGGGTAGGGTTAGGGTTAGGGTTAGGTCAAATAATGTCATATTTGCATTACAAATTACACAACTGAGCGAATGACACTTAATGACAGTTGTCATAAACATGCATAAAACCTCCTTCATATTCATGACATGTGTCATGTCATGATTATGAAGGTGTCATGTCAGTCTTATGCACACCCCTTCAAGTAAAGTGTTACCATAAAGCCTTTGCATTTTTCCTTTTGTATCCATCTCCTGACTTGTGCCTGTCCACAACTTTATCCCGGAGATCTTTTGACAGTGCCTTGTCATCCATAGTTGATTGTTTGCTTCAGTTGCACTGCAAATGCTCCAGGAAAGCTCTTTTCATGCTGAGCTAATCAAAGTGACCACAGCTGATCACAGTTGAAAGTCAAATGGCTTTGTGTTCCATTGAGAAGGTGATTAGCTACACCTGATTATAGCCATTTTTAGGAGGGGGTGATCCTTTTTCCAACTCAGTGATTCTGTTTTTTTATTTTTTTCTGACGTTAGTGTGATATCTTTCACTTGGATATTTTAAATTGCACTGAGTAAATACAGCTGGATAAAAACAAAACTGTCCTTCATTTCAGGCTGCAAAGCACTACAATTTGATTATTTTAAAGGTGGGTGATTCTTTTCCTAAATGTTCTTCAGAATATTTATTATTAGAATAGAGAGAGGACAGGAAATTATATATAGAAGGGCAAAGGGGATCTCAATTTGCTTATCATCTTAATTATACTTCTTGTGGATAAAATTTTAAAGGTGATCACAAAATACTTGTCAAAGCAGGCATTTGAACTTACTGCTCACTCTGACCCAGACACAAGCAAGCGTTCTCCAGACATGCACAACTTCCTGCTTCTTTCTTCTCTCTTTTTTGTTAACTCTTCGTTTGGGGGTTACTTCACAGAAACCTCAGAGATCAGAGAGCACCAGGCAAAACAACATGGAACAAAAGTCACGCTTTTTGTGAGCTTGTTTCGGATCAAGAAAGACCCATTTAGGGAGAAGTGTTGAAAGGGTGCACATGTACACTGAACTGCGATATGCAGCAAATAAGAGATGGGAAGAGAGAAGGAGGAAGATGAAACAGGAAAGGAAGCTCTCAGGGGTGTAAGCGATGCCCTCTGTAACTTTGATGCAAGTTCTCTAAAAGTGAAATCAGGAGAGAGAGAAAGAGAGAGAACCTAGAGCATCATTCAATTCAGTGATCATATCCATCATTTGAGCTCATTACCCCAATGGGGATAAATAAATAGATTTGTTCATTTTCATTTCCTTAATGATGAGAAGTTCTACATTTGAGCTTATGTTTTTTTTATCATATTATTTGTCTCCCTCTCTTGACATCAAAGCAGCACAGAGGTTTGAACTGAGAAGGGTTCATCAAAAGTACACAATCTGAGAATAAGATGGCAGATGAACTGAGAGTTTTCAGAAGTCCCTTTAAACCATCTGCCACTCTGAAACATCGAAACTGCGTGTGCTAGGGACGCCAAATGTGCCGATACTTCCAGAACCAAGTGATACTAAAAAAAAAAAAAACATGCCTTTCTATAGTATCGATAATATTGAGTACAAATTCTGTTTAGTACTTCAGTAAAATGCAGCTGAACACATGAAAAATTTAATGAAAAATAATTTTCATGAAGAGATAAACATGCAAGGTTAATTAAGTTTAATTAAGAAAAAAATCTGATATGTGTCAAAAAAGCCAATCTGCAAATTAGACATTTTTAATCGTTTTGAAAGACGTGTCTTATGCTCACAAAGACTGATCAAAATAGAGTAAGAACAGTGATATTGTGAGATGTTATAACAATTTAAAATAACTTTTTTTTTTTTTTTTATATTCTAAAATGTAATTTATTCCTGTGATGGCAAAGCTGGATTTTCAGCAGCCATTACACAATCATTCTAATATGCTGATTTGATGTTCAAGAAATATTTCTAATTATCAATGCTGAAAATGCTGCTTTTTTCAGGATTCTTTAATGAATAAAAGTTCAGAAGAACAGCATTTATTTGGAATACAAATCATTTTAAATATTATAAATGTCGTTACTGTCACCTGTAATTAATTTAATGCATATTTGCTGAATAAAAATGTATTTAAAAATATGTTTCTTAAATGGTAGTGTGCGTTAGAAGTCTTTATTCCATTGCTAATATGCCATTTGAAATGTTTATATTAATATTGATGTATTTTATGTAAAATAAAGTATGTTCAATGGCATATATTAGCTATGCCCTGGCATTTCTATCAAGTACTGAATTTTTGGTATCGTGACAACCCTAGTGTGGGTTTATTTTCATACAAAATGCATGTATCACATTGCTAATGCATGTTACAGACCTAAAGCTTATGACATGTGGTGACATCTTTTCCACTCAGATGGTCTGGTTGACTGTATGGATCCGGACTGCTGCACACAGAGCTCTTGTGTAACCAATCCTCTGTGCCGTGGATCACGTGATCCACTTCAGGTTATTCAGCAGAGCCAATCAGAGGTCCAGAAAGTCCCATCCTTTTATGACAGAATCAAGATGCTTGTGGGTAAAGACAGCACTCATATCATACCAGGAATCAACCCATTCAATGCCAGGTACCTCATCTGCCCTGTGCTGTGACAGACTAAATTACTAAATTTATCATGCTCTAATATTGTATTTATGTGTGTAGCCTGGCATCTCTGATTCGAGGTCAGGTTTTGACCTCAGATGGCTCTCCTTTGGTGGGTGTCAACGTGACCTTTGTGAAGTACCCCTCCTCTCCCAGCAGCAGCCACCCATCATCAACAGTATTATGGGTAACGGCCGAAGACGCAGCATCTCGTGCCCAAGCTGCAGTGGGATGGCTGAGGGCAACAAGCTGCTGGCGCCGATGGCTGTAGCCTGTGACGGAGAGGGTAACCTGTACGTGGGTGACCTTAACTTTGTGCGGAGGGTCTATCCTTCCCTCAATACCACAGCTGTACTGGAGCTCAGGTAAAGCTGATAGGATGCGCAGCTGACAACATTAAAACAGCATTTGTAATTAATTTCACCTCTTTAATATAAGGCGTTATTGAGTAGAACTGAATATTCTGCTGAAATAATAATTGTCTTGAGTTGGTTCTAAAAAAAAATGAAATCAGCAAATCACTTTTAAATAAAAAATGAATGAGGCTTGAATTCCAAGATCCGATGACAGGAAAAGCTGTCAGAAGAAGATAATTAAAACTTGTCATTTGATATTGTTCCGTGAAATCAAGGGTTTCCCATGAGCACCACAGCTCAATATGTCAGAGCACTTGCACTGACCACAAAGTCAACAGTTATTGCAGTTTGATGAAGGATAATAATAAACACTTGACATGCATTGATGAATCATGCACTACTACAACAAGGACATTTATTATGAAAAAAAATAAGTTCAGTTTTGATTGAATGTTGTTTTTAAAAACTGGAATAGCTTTTACAATTATTTTGATTTAATTCACACAGGCATCCTTCATAAGGGCAGCGGTGAGAATATCTTCCTCTCCCAGCAGCAGCCACCCATCATCAACAGTATTATGGGTAACGGCCGAAGACGCAGCATCTCGTGCCCAAGCTGCAGTGGGATGGCTGAGGGCAACAAGCTGCTGGCGCCGATGGCTGTAGCCTGTGACGGAGAGGGTAACCTGTACGTGGGTGACCTTAACTTTGTGCGGAGGGTCTATCCTTCCCTCAATACCACAGCTGTACTGGAGCTCAGGTAAAGCTGATAGGATGCACAGCTGACAACATTAAAACAGCATTTGTAATTAATTTCACCTCTTTAATATAAGGCGTTATTGAGTAGAACTGAATATTCTGCTGAAATAATAATTGTCTGGAGTTGGTTCTAAAAAAAAATGAAATCAGCAAATCACTTTTAAATAAAAAATGAATGAGGCTTGAATTCCAAGATCCGATGACAGGAAAAGCTGTCAGAAGAAGATAATTCAAACTTGTCATTTGATATTGTTCCGTGAAATCAAGGGTTTCCCATGAGCACCACAGCTCAATATGTCAGAGCACTTGCACTGACCACAAAGTCAACAGTTATTGCAGTTTGATGAAGGATAATAATAAACACTTGACATGCATTGATGAATCATGCACTACTACAACAAGGAAATTTATTATGAAAAAAAATAAGTTCAGTTTTGATTGAATGTTGTTTTTAAAAACTGGAATAGCTTTTACAATTATAGTGTTGCATTGGATAAGAACGGCCTGATGTACTTTGTGGATGCTACTATGATACGAAAAGTGGATCAGAATGGCATTATCTCCACTCTGATAAAGACCAATGACCTTACTGCAGTCAGGCCCCTCAGCTGTGATTCCAGCATGGACGTCAGCCAGGTTGTAATTACTTTCCTCAACTCTCTTGCACTTGCACTTCAGACTCCTAAAAATAAATGAACAGTTGTTGAAATCTGTACTAAAGTGCATAATTCAGATGCCCTATAATGTGTATAGATGAATATTGCATCTTATTTGAATTTGTCTGCAGTGTGTGCAAGTTCAGATTAACTTCTTGTATGTCAGATAGATACACCAATTAATCTCAATGGATATGAAAATGAGTCAGCTTCATTTGTCATTTGTTTAGGTCATTTTTCATGCAGAAGCAATGAAATTTGTGTCTTTGCATAGAAACAATCCATTAAAACTAACATGGTTAATTATCGAGATTATTTTATGGAATCAGAGAGAGATAATTCGTGTACCAGAGCATATTATAAATTAATTTGATGGCACCCTGTGTAAAGTAATATTGATCAAACGTGCTTGTATAAAAAAACATCTGGCTGAGATTGTCATCATTGATGTTTTAATGTAGAGGTTTTGCCAATGTAAAAATACAGTATAATTAATCAAAAGAACAATAAAAATTCAGGAAATAACCGTTTAAACTAAATCATTTTTACAAGTAACCTACTCACTACTCTTTTTTTTAAAACAATTTGCAGGCCCCATGAAGCATTAAGATAAACTGTCAAACACAGCTGTGTAAACACATTTCAGCCTGTTTATTTCAGTTTGCGCTGTGAAATACTTCTTGTTCCATCCTTGTGTCTTTGAGCTTTCGCTAGCCAATATTTGTTTGTCAGAGTGTCTCCATGGGTATTAACGTTTGACAATGAGAGTGACAAACAATGGAACTGGATTATCAATCAAGCAGCTTTCATCATTTGTCTATCACTGTAATAAATTCATAGACCTGCTGATTCGTTCCACTCGGAAGAATCTGTAACACATAATTTTTTTTTAAATGCCAGAAGGAAATCTACTGTCAGAAATGGGAAATGCACTCAGTTTGACCAGAAGCAAGGATAAAACAGAATGGGAGATATCAAAAGCAGAGGCAGGGAAATCCCGCTGGGCAAAGCTGAATTTACACTCAGACCACAACTGCTCAACATGCCCAATTATTGTCCTTTTTTTGTGTTAATGTACTCTTCACCTTTAATGTTTCAGGTACGTCTGGAGTGGCCTACAGACCTGGCCATCAACCCTATGGACAACTCTCTGTATGTGCTGGAGAATAACGTCATCCTGCGTATCTCTGAGAACCACCAGGTCAGCATTATTGCAGGGCGGCCCATGCACTGCCAGGTCCCTGGCATTGATTACTCTCTCAGCAAACTAGCCATCCATTCTGCCTTGGAGAGCGCCACAGCCATCGCCATCTCCCACACAGGTGTGCTCTATATTGCTGAAACCGACGAGAAGCGCATCAACCGCATACGGCAAGTTAGCACCAGCGGTGAGATCTCCCTGCTTGCCGGGGCTGCCTCTGAATGCGACTGCAAGAATGACGTCAACTGCAACTGTTTCTCAGGAGATGAAGGCTATGCTGCGGACGCCAGCCTCAATTGTCCCACTTCGCTAGCTGTGTCACCAGATGGTACCCTGTACATCGCTGACCTGAACAATATCCGTGTACGTTCAATCCACAGCAACCGCCCCAATGCCACAGCGAGTGGACAATATGAAGTGGGTTCATCTCTAGAACAGGAGTTATATGTGTTTGGTCCTGACGGCCTTCATAGGCAGACGGTTAGCCTCATTACAGGCTTGGCACTGTATAACTTTACTTACGGGTTGGACGGAGAGTTGGCAGCAGTTACCGATGCCTCTAACAATACGCTTCGGGTGAGGAGGGAGGCATCTGGCTCTATCAGGCTTGTGCTGTTGCCAGAGAACCAGGTGGTAACACTGGGAATGGACCCAGCCGGCAGCCTACGTTCAGTGTCCGCCCTCAGTCAGGAAGTGGCACAGCTCGGTTATTACACTAACACAGAACTTTTAGCCTCCAAGTCAGATGAGACCGGATGGACAAACTTTTACAAGTGAGTATGAAATGTGCAGTGTGATAATAGAACTTTGAGATAAAGGCAAGTCTGGAAATCATAAAGAAAATAATAATAATAAAAAAAGGACAAAAACTCACTAGTCAAAAAGTTTCAGGAGGAATTCAGTGAGAATAACTTACTTTTTTAAATGCCGAAAAGGCTAATAACGGCACTGCATCTCTAGACATGTGTTTGGGTATCGTCTGATGATTAACTGCTGCAATATGCAGTAAAACTCTTTTTATTAAAATTCTGTTTGCATCTGTTTTTTGTGGGTAGTAATAACAATGTTTATTGTGCAATGTTAATAAGGTAATCTATATTAAGCCCAATTGACATAAAAGGAGGCTTGTTTGCAATGAAATTATTGATATTGAGTTCATTTAAAATGACCTAGTGATGTTTCAGTGCATTTAGCATTTTGTTATACTGGATAGAGAATACAATGCAGGTTTTTCTGCTAAAATTTTTAAGTGCAAAATTTGTGTGACTGTTCAAAATTTGCACCCAGTGTATCATGGATGTTTTTATAGACAATGAATTTTGACTTTTGTTTCTAAGCACTGTGGTTATCATCTGACTGGTATCTTTATCTAGTGTCAGAGCAGAGGATGTTTTCACAGTACTGCTTTGGTCCTGCAGCCATCTAGTGTCTGTATGCTAGAACTGCTCTAGACATTTAAATAGATGTCCAGTTGTGTTTTATTGTTAACTAAAACTAGAATTTGTATTTTATTAACGTATAATATATAATATATATATATATATATATATATATATATATATATGCTTTTTTCCAATTGCCAGTTGTTGAAAAAAATCTGAAATAAAATACAAATATTAAATGAAAAACTTTAAATTAAAAAAACCTGCCTTGTTCTAAAGTTGAAGTACTACAATCACTAAAATTAAACTGAAACTTAAAAGCTATATAGAACTAATAAAAATTACAAAGGCACATAAAATGACTAAAACTTAAACTAAAATAAAAAAGAGAATACAAATAAAAACGAATTTAAAATATAAAAAATATAATAGTATCTATTATAATATTTTGAATGTTTTAAATTAGCTTTTATTTGTATTCTACCTGCCTGCTGTGTGTTTTGGTCTTAATGGATGTGATTTAGAGGGAAAACGGGGGGCATCATCATGAGATCTGGACTGAGATATGTTCTTTGTGTGTTGTGGGTGTGTACCTTGAACCACAGTGTAGGACGCCTCTACGGACGAGAGATTAGTGATGACCGTGACATCATCATCTCTGTTTGAGCTCTCCATGTCAATATTGATGGTCTCCTCCATCTCACGATGCAGACTGGTCACCACACCAGTGGGATATGTGACGTTGGTTAGACGACCCTCACTGTCATAGCTGTGAAGAAGAGATACAAGACAAAACTCACTAATATGAATATAATAAATAGCCAGCAGTGTCTGCAGAATTGATTTTTTAAAATTTATTTATAATAAATTTTTAATGTTTTAAATTGTTTGATACCAATGTTATTTTAATACTATTTTAGCAAAAAAGCAAATAAAAATGACTAAAACTTAAACTAAAATAAAAAAGAGAATACAAATAAAAACGAATTTAAAATATAAAAAATATAATAGTATCTATTATAATATTTTGAATGTTTTAAATTAGCTTTTATTTGTATTCTCTTTTTTATTTTAGTTTAAGTTTTAGTCATTTTTATTTGCTTTTTTGCTAAAATAGTATTAAAATAACATTGGTATCAAACAATTTAAAACATTAAAAATTTATTATAAATAAATTTTAAAAAATCAATTCTGCAGACACTGCTGGCTATTTATTATATTCATATTAGTGAGTTTTGTCTTGTATCTCTTCTTCACAGCTATGACAGTGAGGGTCGTCTAACCAACGTCACATATCCCACTGGTGTGGTGACCAGTCTGCATCGTGAGATGGAGGAGACCATCAATATTGACATGGAGAGCTCAAACAGAGATGATGATGTCACGGTCATCACTAATCTCTCGTCCGTAGAGGCGTCCTACACTGTGGTTCAAGGTACACACCCACAACACACAAAGAACATATCTCAGTCCAGATCTCATGATGATGCCCCCCATTTTCCCTCTAAATCACATCCATTAAGACCAAAACACACAGCAGGCAGGTAGACTGGTGTTTCTCTTTATTACCCACAGGGAGGCCACATTGTTTGAATGTGCGGCGTCCAGCAGTGCAGAGAAATCATCATTTTACAATTTACCATAGGCTCCATTTAGGGGTTCTTTCTTCAGGCAAAAGCTTGAAGGCGTAAACTCTTCTCTTTATATCCAGTGAATTATGTGTTGATGGATTCCCTTGCACAACTTGCTTGTTACTTCCTGTAAAGAGTTTGCTTTTGCTGTTTACTCAAGACAAATGACATGAAAACCAACCTTCTGCTTGTTAGCAGTGTACCAAAATGCACTTGGATTTTTTTATGACTTTGAAATTGTACATGATTGTGTTTCCCAGGTACATTTCTGTGGAAAGCAGCAGCTGATCCAATTATAGCTTGTAAATGGAACTAAAGATGTTTATGCTGCTTTTAGCCAAAGCTAAATCTTCTTTATAACCAAAAGCTGCATTATACACATCCGCCCCACAGTGCTGCGTTTCCCCTAATGCACAACAGACTGTCAGATCAGAACTAATGCATCATATGAAATTAAATGAGGCTGGTTTTAGGGTACACTTCATAATAATACAAACATTAAATACTTAACAGATAAATAATAGTTAATGTACATAAATGCCATGAAACAATATTTATATATTTTCATTTGCATTTCGCTACCATTATCTGTCTGGACTTTTCTGGATTGTAGATGTCAGGATATATGATTTTAAATCTTTTTTTTTCTGTTTTACTTACAGAAAATATTTGTATTAACTTTTTTTCAGTGTGGATGCATTAAATTGATCAAAAGTGAAAGTAAAGTAATTTATAATGTTACAAAATATTTATATATTTATATATTTTCTGTGATGATTTCAAATATTTACATTTAAAGGGGTCATATGACGTTGCTAAAAAGAACATTATGTTGTGTATTTGGTGTAATGCAATGTGTTTATGCGGTTTAAGGTTCAAAAAACACATTATTTTCCACATACTGTACATTATTGCTTCTCCTCTATACACTGCCTTTCTGAAACGCATCAATTTTTACAAAGCTCATCGTTCTGAAAAGCGAGGTGTACGCTGATTTGCCAGCTATCCAGTGCGTTGTGATTGGGTGGATACCTCAAGCATGTGACGGAAATGTTACGCCCCTTACCATACTGTGATGCCCTGTGCGCGACAAGACAAAAACAATAGAACCCATTACAAACAAGATCCAGACTGTCCTTGCAAAGTTGGAACTGCCCCACTTTATAGAAACAGACACATTGTAGGCTACTCTCACAGGAAACAGTCCTTATCCTCCGCAAAATGCGCTGCACACATCTGAATATTTGGGTTGAACTGTTCTGGAACAGTGTTGTAAATACAACTTAACCACTGATTTCTAGTTGTGTCCTCTTTTGGAAGGCCAAACAGTAGTTTCGCTTTCGCAACGAAACACACAGCGTCACACACGGTGGCCTAGAGTGAGCGGAGGCCGGCGGCCTAGAGTGAGGAACGGCCGGTGGGCTAGAGTGAGCGGAGGCAGGCTTGAGTGAGCGGTTTGTAACACTCCAAAGAGAAAGGAAAAATTGAAATCGCATCATATGACCCCTTTAAACTCATCACAGAATCCTAAAAAATGTATCACAGTTTCCACAAAAGTATTAAATAGCAAAACATGTTCTCACATTTATAATATGTAATTTTTCTTGGGCACAAAATTAGCATATTAGAATGATTTCTGAAGGATCATATGACACTGAAAACTGGGGTAATGATACTGAAAATTCAGCTTTGCATCACAGGAATAATTTACATTTTAAAATACAAGTATTTTAAATGACTGTTTTTGCTGTATAAATGCAGCCTTGAAAAGCGCAAGAGACTTCTTTGAAAAAAAATCAAAACTTTTAAACAGTAGTGTATATGAGTACATTCATAATGATATGTGAAACATTATATAATGCTTGTTTATAATGTACTATTTAAAGAGTATAATCTGATTTTATAATCCTTGTCGACCTATATTCTTTTTGTCTTTTCACAGACCAAGTGAGGAATAGCTATCAGTTGTACCACAACGGCACACTGAGAGTATCCTATGCTAATGGAATGGGCATCAGCTTTCACACCGAACCACACATCATTGCAGGATCAGTGAGCCCGACCATCGGGAGACGCAACATCACCCTACCCACTGACAGCGGCCTTAACTCTATCGAATGGCGCATGAGAAAAGAGCTGACCAAGGGCAAGGTTACAGTGTTTGGCAGAAAGTTGCGCGTAAGGTTTTCTTTTTACTGTTGAAGTTAGTTGTCAAGTAAAGTTTTATTTGTATAGCACTTTTCAAAGCAGTTTTACAGAAATTAGAATGTTAATGTTTATAATATGTTAACACATTTAGCAGTTTAGAGCTGGGCAATTACATTCTGTGAATATATAAACAATCAATCAGTTGAGATTTGCTATGTAAACTGCAATATTTGATGTTTGATTTTAGAGTTTAGAACTTCTAAAAAACCTTAAATTTTTTCCCACAGGTCCACAGCAGAAACCTTCTGTCCATTGACTATGACCGCAACACCAGAACAGAGAAGATCTACGATGACCACCGCAAGTTCACTCTGCGCATCATCTATGATGCCCAGGGCCGACCGGCCACCTGGCTTCCTAGCAGCAGCTTAGCCCTGGTCAATGTATCTTATTCACCCACTGGCCGATTGGTGGGCTTGCAGAGGGGCAGCATGAGCGAGAAAAGCGAGTTTGACACATTTGGACGGATCCTGTCCCGAACCTTTGTTGATGGGAAAGTTTGGAGCTTCAGCTACATGGACAAAGTGAGTTGACTCTTCAGAACCACATAAAGCACTTGTTTTTCTTACAGTGTTCATGTATATACTCATTTTGTGCACCTTTTCATTTCACTTTGCAGTCCATGGTGTTGCTGCTCCAACAGAGTCAGAAACAGTACATCTTTGATTTTGACACAGCGGGCCGGCTCACGGCGGTCACTATGCCGAGCATGGCCAGACACACTATGGCCACTCATGTGTCTGTTGGTTACATTCGCAACACCTACAACCCCCCTGAGAGCAATGCCACCATTATCCACGACTTCAGTGAGGATGGGCATCCACGCGCTACATTCTACCTTGGAACTGGTCGGCGTGTGCTCTACAAATACGGGAAGCTTGGAAAGCTCTCGGAGGTGCTGTATGACGCAACTGCCGTCAACTTTGGCTATGATGAGACAACAGGAGTGCTTAAAATGGTCAACTTACAGAGCGGAGGCTTCTCTTGCACCATTCGCTATCGCAAACTCGGCCCCCTAGTGGACAAACAGATGTACCGCTTCTCAGAAGAAGGAATGGTTAATGCTCGTTTTGACTACACCTATCATGACAACAGCTTCAGGGTGGCCAGCATAAAGCCAGTAATAGGGGAAACCCCACTTCCTGTGGACCTGTACCGCTATGATGAGATATCCGGTAAGGTCGAACACTTCGGCAAGTTTGGCATCATATACTACGACATCAACCAAATCATCACTACGGCCGTGATGACACTCAGTAAGCATTTTGATGCACATGGCCGCATCAAAGAAGTGCAGTACGAGATCTTCCGCTCGTTGATGTATTGGATGACAGTGCAGTATGACAGTATGGGCCGTGTAATTAAACGTGAACTGAAGATTGGTCCATATGCTAATACCACACAGTACCGCTACGAATATGACGGTGACGGCCAGCTTGTTGGTGTCAAAGTTGATGACTGGTCCACTTGGCGCTATAGCTACGACCTAAATGGAAATCTCCATTTGCTTAACCCTGGTAACAGCGCCCGTCTGCTGCCACTACGCTACGATCTTCGAGACCGAATCACACGGCTCGGCGATATGCAGTATCACCTCGATGAGGATGGCGTGCTTGCACAGAGAGGCTCAGACATTTTTGAGTACAATTCCAAAGGTCTTCTCGAGCGAGCCTACAGCCGCACAGCTGGAGGTTGGAGTGTCCTCTACCGCTATGATGGCTTGGGCCGCCGTGTCTCCCGCAGAACTAGCGAAGGCGAGCATCAGCAGTACTTCTACGCCGACTTGAACTACCCCACTCGGGTCACCCATGTTTACAACCACTCGAGAGCTGAAATCACCTCCTTCTACTATGACCTGCAGGGTCATCTATTTGCTATGGAGGTCAGTGGTGGGGAGGAATACTATATCGCCTCTGACAACATAGGCACCCCACTGGCCATCTTCAGCAGCAATGGGCAGATGGTCAAGCAGATGCAGTACACAGCATACGGAGAGGTCTACCATGATTCTAACCCAGATTTCCAGCTCATATTAGGCTTTCATGGAGGGCTTTATGATCCTCTCACAAAGCTGGTGCACTTCGCCCAGAGAGACTATGACGTGCTGGCAGGAAGATGGATTGCACCTGACCATACATTGTGGCCGAAGATAGGCAAAGTGCCAGCTCCGTTCAACCTGTATATGTTCAAGAACAATAATCCACTCAGCGATATGATTGATGTGAAAAACTATGTGACAGGTGAGAAGGTGATAAATTGTTCTGCTTTGTATTTATGGGCTGAGCTTAGAAGTTATGTATAAATGACTCACATTGGTTTCTATGACAGCTTGTAAAAGACATTATTTCCTGTTTTGTCTTACAGATGTGAAGAGTTGGCTGGTTATGTTTGGCTTTCAGCTCAGCAACATAATTCCAGGGTTTCCTAGACACTCGCTTTATTTTGTTGACCCTCCTTATGAGGTACTTGCCAGTCAGGACTCTGATAACACTCAGGTCAGTTTGATTTGGTGATCATTTTTCAATTAAAATGGCTTCACTAGGTTTTTTTTTCTTGTTTTTTTTCTCGATTTTACGTTCATTATTTTCACTGACCACATAATGTTTAGAATTATCAGGTTATATTCCATGTATGTTTTATATGTGATATCAGTATTTATATTTTTCATTTGATGTTGTTTTCTTTACAAAAAACATTATATTATTCTTCACAAAAAAAGTTTTTAAACAAATGAATGAAGACAATTTGCTAAATGTTTTTGTTACAAATATGTTCACTACCATTAAAAACTTTTGGTTAAATATATAGTTCAGTCATGAAACTTTAGAAGGTGCATTCTGACGGGGTGTTAACGTAACTGATGATATTCAGAGAGTTAAATGACTTGGCACAAGCTGATTGGTTCATGCTGCATATGCAGCCAATGAGCTTACTGCCTTGCATTTATATGGCTGGCTAGCATTCACTTGAGATTCCTGCAGCGCACTTTCAGAGTTCTCTGAAACCCTCCACCTTCCCCAGCTCCACCTGTATAGATCTGCTACAGGGTTATTTTATATATGCTATTTGTGCAGCAGCAGTATGTCTTAAATACTCATAACACCGTATCGCCATATGCATTGGCAGTAGCAAGTTCCTGTACTTGCTTGCAGCAGCAGCAATAATTTACAACTACAGCAATAACCAACAGCAGCAGCAATTCAGCAGCAGCATAGCAGATCTGTTCTGCCAAGACCAAATACATTAACATTTTCATATCCATCACCATGCTAAAATGTTCAGAGAGTTGTCATGATTGAACTATCTTTCAAAACAATAAGACTTTTTAAATTAATACTTTTGTTCAGCAAGGATGCAATAAATTGATCAAAAGTAAAAGTAATTTATAATGTTACAAAAAACTTCTATTTCAAATAAATGGTGAACTTTCTACTCCACAAAAAAGAGGTGGTTTGGCATGTGCAACTATTATAATAAGAAAGCACCAATTTGAACACAATATGCAGCATATTAGAATGATTTTTAAAGGATCATGTGATACTGAAGACCTGGAATAATGCTGCTGAAAATTCAGCTTCGCCATCACAGGAATAAATTACATTTTAAGATAGATTAAAACAAAACATATATTTTTGATTGCAATAATATTTTACAATATTACTGTTTTACTGTATTTTTGATCAAATAAATGCAGCCTTGGTGAACATACAAGACTTCTTTCAAAAATATTAAGTCTCACCAACCTCAAACTTTTGGCAATAAAACAACAACAAAAAATGTAACAGTTTTAGTATCAGCATGTCCCTAGTCTAAAGGGACTAAATACCTTTCAGTCAAATTTCCTGAAATGCTCTAACACATACTGTACATTACACCATGTCGCGCCACGCTGCACCGCATCCAGTGTAGACAGCATCACTGATTATGAAGGGTTCTATAGTATCTTGTCGCGCCGCTTGCGTCCGGTGTAGACATGGTGTTAGTTAGACACATCATACAACCTAAAATTGATAGTGACCATATGTATCATATTACTGCTTTTACACTTTTATCAGGTGTCACTAACTATTCATCCATTTTACAGCTTTTCACTGGAGTTCAGCATTCAGTGGACAGACACAACCAGGCCTTCATGGTTCTTGAGGGGAGGCGGCTCAACAAACAGCGGCGCACCAAGCGTGACAAGCCCGGTTACTGGTTTGGCACCAGCACGCCCATCGTAGGCAAAGGCATGATGCTCGCTATCAGGGATGGTCACGTATTAACAGACCTGTCCACCTCAGCTAGCGAAGACAGTCGCAAAATATCACAGATCCTCAGCAACGCCATCTACCTGGATGGCACTCGTTACACCATCGATGGTTGGGACTGCCACTTCTTCGTGAAGCTCGGACTAGCTGACAGCGACCTGTTGGCCTTGGGTCTCAGCAGCGGCCACAAGACACTGGAGAGTGGGATCAATGTGACGGTCAGCGGACGCTCCCGCCGGGGCGTCACTATAGAGATCCACTCCGCCAAACTCACATATAGCATCCGGTACGGGCTGTCAGCAGAGGTTCTGGAAAAGGAGCGGAGCCGCCTGCTGGAACAAGCCCACCAGAGGGCGCTGTCTGGAGCATGGGCCAGGGAGCAACAGCAAGTGCGCGAAGGCAGGGATGGAGGACGCGTGTGGGCTGAAAATGAGAAGCAACAACTGTTAGCCATGGGGAAGGTCGTGGGTTACGAGGGCTACTACGTGCTCCCAGTAGAGCAGTACCCTGAACTGGCGGACAGCAGCGCTAACATCCAGTTCCTCAAACAGAACGAGATGGGCAGGAGGTAACAGAGTTCAACTGTTGCTGATGCCATGCCATCTCCTACGGAGAGAAACAACAGAGTGCTGCAGAGACGTTTCCCAAAAATGGAGAACCAACAGCCAGCAGCAAGAACACTGACCCATTATTGAAAAAAAAAGCACTTGTGAACAATGATTTTGTAGTGATCTTTTGACTTTATAGAAAGTGGTAAATATTTTTTAGTCAATTCAGACTGGCTGTGAGTGGCGGACATTAATGTGATGATAGTGTGATAGCTCGCTTTGGTTTTTCATGACTGCATATCAAACATAACAGAAATCATCACGCAATACTCAATAAAACAGCATCACCTGCTCCCATATGTGTTTGTGAAACTACACTGGAACATATTCAAAAGGAACGTCAGCGTCTCGACACTTTCAGTCTCGTTCCTCATGAATTTTCTCGCTATACGTCAATGCAGTGTTTGGTATTAAGATTTTAATCACACCGTGTGAGGCTGAGCTTTCTGATTGGCTTTCGCTGGATGTGTTAATCATCAGCTCACAGAGTCTGTCCTCTTCTGTTCGCAATATATGACAATCACAGGGGCTGATACATTGATCAATAAACTGTACATGAACCAACCGTTTTGTATAATATGTAAGAGATTATTGATTGTCTGGGTTTTTTATTATTATTTTATTAATTTAAATTCAACTTGACAAGTGAAAACAGATGAAAGTGTAATATATATTGTTTTTTAAAACTGAAACATATGACATGTAAATTATTCTCATTGACTTTGGGTGTATCAAATCAAGAACATATCTTCAAGGAAGTGGTTTCATCATTACGTTGTGTGAAAATCCATTGCAAGACTCACCGCAGAGGTCGTTTTCTTTGAATATATTACGAAAGCTAATGCAGCCGTTGACTTTTTTTTCTTGGTGTAGAATCTCTGACTTGTGGTGAGTCAGTGTGGATATGAGCTTCAACTAGCAAAGTCACACTCAGACACCTGTGGAAGGAGGTTCTTCTGAAATTCTATGAAAATAAAACGTTTTCATTTGTACCTTTTGAATTTGAATGACTTCCTTTACAGCTGAGCAGAATGATTGTGTTCCATCAGGGCCATGAAAGACAAATAGTTCTTAATTTCACGATTCACATAATGTGTGATTGTCTATTATTTCATCTAAATATCAACTTCTAGTCGGGCAGACCAAAAGAAAAAGGTTATCGAAGTGTAGATGGTTCTATGTTTGTTTTGTGAAAACTTTTATTTCTACAATGTGACTTGGTTTGTTTTTGTTTGTACTTTTAACTAAAGATCAGCCAACATGAACCTACAAAAGTTTCATGAAAACGGCATTTTCTTGTAGATTCCATCTAACAATCTTTTCAGTCTAAAAATACTAGCATAATGCGCTACATTTAAGTCTATATAGTCATTCACTCAGACTCCGCAGTTCCATAACATTGCAACATTGTGAACGCACAGAGAACAATGACTTGTCCTGTTATCAAGAAATGTAGTTAAAATGCCAGAGAACTAGAAGTCAAAACCGTGATTTTCTGGGGCCAGTGAGGTGGAATGACAGTCAGTTGAGAACATCAGAAAGTGTTTTGTAAAGATCTCTGTGGTCGACAAGGACTGACATAAACAGAGTTTCAGAATTTTTGACCTTTTGTAAAAATGTCTACCATTGAATTGAAACAATATAGTAAATTTGAATTGTTTTGCTGTTATTTCCATGAGGTTTCAGACTGAATGGCCAAAGATCAGACCGGCTGTAGCTGTCACTGTTGACATTGAGAGAATGGTAAACACAGCTTTGCTTTAAATAGCCTGCTGCAGTGCAGGTGTTAAGTTTATACCCATGGGAACCACTTCCAGTGAAGTGCTGCACACTGGTGCTGGGGGAAGGGATGACTCAAAAGTGTTGCACTTTTCTCAAATTAACATTGTTTAATTCCGATATCTTTATAGGTTTATTATTTATGAACATGCATACAACAACCTATCCTAGATCCTAGATTCCTAGATGATTTTTGCCTTGCTTAAATGTGAGTAGACAAAAGCGTGTTGTATGTAGTATCTGAGGGGTGGAGCACTTTAGTAGAACACAATGAAAAGCCAGTGAGGTGTGATGACTGAAAAATAATGACTTATTAATAATGCATTTGCAGCTCAGCAAACAATTCCTAAAAGGATTCCCAGTCAATATCTCATTTAGCTACAATTCCACATTAACTTTCTAGCTGATAATGCAGACAAAAAAGCAGATAATAAATTAAATCAGATGAATGTTTTTGTTTTTACTTTGTAGTACAGGTTCAGGTCTGTTGCCTCATATTGTATTTTAAAAGTTCAAAAGATGTGCAATTAAATGTTCAGAGTGGAATTTTGCCAGATGCTTCACTGGGGTGTAGGAGATCATTTTTTTGATTTGTTTTGTTTTTAAATGCTAAATTTAGTTTATGTCTGTAAAAATACAGCTTCCTGTCAGTTTAATATGCTGAAACTTGGTTCCTCAGAAAGTCTAAACACTGTGGCTCTGTAGTGCTTTTGTTTGAGCAGCCAGAGCATCTCGAAGAGGCCACACTGACTCAACACAACACTGGAGGACTGTCCGGACAATTAGTAAAAAAAAAAAAAAAAAGTCATTATTATTTTTGGACATCCTACACAGAAAAGCACATTTTGAGTAAACAAAAGTGATGACATGTCTTATTTCCATTATTTTATTTAATAGAAACAAACTTTTCCTTGATTGACATATTAAGACAGCTCAAACATTCAAGGCCATATTTGATTATCAAATCTGGTCTATAAACAAGCAAACTTGTAATTTTTGCATTCATTAATAAAGATGACATCTGTATTATTTTCAAAAGACAAATAATAAAAACATTCTGTTTAATATGCCTCTACAAATACGATCAATGCATGTAATCAGTCTCTCAGTGCGTATCATGCATAATTGAAGGAATAAAAATAGGTGCTCCAAGTTGGACTACTGGAAATGAACGCTACAACAAAAACATAACTTTATTTGTTTCTCAATTACTTTTTCAGTAGTCAGGCATAAATAAGGATTAGATCGTGGAGTGAAAGATCTTTACAAATAAAGGAGTGGCTCACAGTGGTTTCTTCATTATTCTAGGTCAACATGTCCCAGAGGCAGCAGCAACACAGGGCCGTCCAACATGCAGTAAGACATGCCTGGTCCCCGGAATCATCCCGCCTGCCCTGCTCCACAACATACACTGGAGAAAAGACACAGAGATGGAGAAAAACACTGCTCAGAATGGCAAGTTTATTGCAAAGTAGATTATAAATGACATGTTTTTCAATTGGTCTCCGAGGGTCTCCACTGTATGCGAAAGGTTATTCTAGTTTAGAATTTTTTAATTCGTTTTATTTTAATATCGTTTTCAAATTTGCTATAAACTTCAGTTTAGTTTTTATGAGTTTCATACATATTTTTGTTAGTTTTAGTTTAGTTTTTATTTTGTGAACGCATTTCTATTTAGTTTTTATATAGTTTAGTTTCAGTTTTAGTTTCGGTTTTAATTAAAGCTTAGCAGAATTAACAGATCACTTCCAGAGGGCAGGCTAAGAAAGACGTAGGCATAATTTCACCTTAGTGAGGCAAACATATAGCGACACAAAATTAACACATGCTGAGATTGATTAGATAGTAAAAGTATACAAATATTCACCAAATAAAGCAGGCAAGCCTTTTTTACTAAATTAATCTACACAAGCAGGGGCGTACATTTCGTCTAACAGTAGGGGGGACAATAAACAAAATTTCTCGAGCAATATTTGAAGGGGCCACAAGGCATAGCATATTTTCTTAGCGATAGATGCTATTTACACTAAGTGAAAATAGCAGTATTTGTTTTGTGGTATGCTATTTACACTAAGTGCAAATAACTATTTATACTATATTAAAATAGCAGGATATTCTGCGAATTACTTATTGCCAATAGTGGCAATTATCTGCACCTCAGCATTGTAATACATTATAAAACAGTATGCAATTATAACTTATTGAGTGTACATTTTTGTAACACTGTAATATTCTAAATGATTTCTAATTCAAAATATTTCCTTAATTTTTATTAAAAAAGTAAATGCTTTTCTGATGTGATTTGAAATGGGAAAAAAAAGTTTGCCAAAAGGCAGATTCGAACCCGGGTCGATTGCGTCGTAATGTTGACTAGCCAAATCACACGTTGGTGGATGGAGTTAGAGTAATAGCCTTTGCCACCGATTTTTAAAAAATTCACAACAGTTAAACAGTATCTGTATTAAAGAGAAACTAATCACTTCATCCGATGTTTAAGTGAAGAAATTAGCCTTGACAGCCTTAACAGTTACTTACTGGACTTCCTCAACTATTGGCTTTGTTCTCTCTCACCGGACTTGTGTGTGTGTAAAAGACGAAAGCAGGCATTTGGACCAAAGTGAGGCAAGGGAGGTGGAGACTCATAATGTTTCTAAACTTAAAACACATTTTGCCCCGTTTGTGTTGTTTAACTACTTACAATTGATTAAAGTATAAAACATTGTTATTTACAATGCACAGCGTGGTTTATAATCATATTTTTACAGATTTGTGCATTATTTATTCTATATAGAACTGTATAAATAAAGAGATATGCATATGTATTTACATAATACTTGAGAAAGAGGCAATAATTAAGGATGTAGAATGAATTACGGAAATGAATTACAGAACACAGATAATGATTCATGTGTTAGCTGTTTAAGCTGGAGATGGCATGGGGGGAAAAACTGTTTTTATGCCTAGATATTCTAGTGCACTGAGATCTGTAGTGTCTGCCTGAAGGGAGACGTGCAAACAGGTCTTTGACGAAGTTACCTGCCCATTTCTTCACTCTGGAGTTGTACAAGTCCTGAAGATTGGGCAGGTGCACACCAATGATCCTTTCTGCTGTCCTAACAGTCTGTTGCAGTCTTCTTGTATCTGATTTGCTGGCTGACCCAAACCAGACAGTTATAGAAGAGCACAGAACCGACTCAATAACAGCTGAGTAAAACTGTGTCATATGCGCCTGTGGCAGGTTGAACTTTTTCAGCTGACGAAGGAAGTACAACTTCTGCTGGGCCTTTTTCACAATGGAGTCAATGTGAATGCCCCACTTCAGGTCCTGAGAGATGGTGGTTCCCAGGAATCTGAATGACTCCACTGCAGTCACAGAGCTGTTCATGATGGTGAGTGGGGGGAGAGCAGGGGGGTTTCTCCTGAAGTCCACCATCATCTCCACTGTTTTGAGCGTGTTGAACTCCTGGTTGTTGTGACCGCACCAGACAGCCAGCTACTCAACCTCTTGTCTGTAAGCAGACTCGTCGCCGTCCTGGATGAGACCGATGAGTGTGGTTTCGTCTGCAAACTTCAGGAGCTTGACAGAGGGGTCTTTAGAGGTGCAGTCATTTGTGTAGAGGGAGAAGAGCAGTGGGGAGAGAACGCAGCCCTGAGGAGCTCCGGTGCTGATGGTGCAGGTGTTGGATGTGAGTTTTCCCAGCCTGACTAGCTGTTGCCTGTCTGTCAGGAAGCTGGCTATCCACTGACAGATGGAGGTGGGCACAGAGAGCTGGGTCAGTTTATTCTGAAGGGTGTCCGGGATGATGGTGTTGAAAGCGGAGCTGAAGTCCACAAACAAAATCCTTGCATAAGTCCCTGGTGTGTCCAGATGCTGGAGGATGTAGTGCAGTCCCATATTGACTGCATCATCCACAGACCTG